ATATTGGGATTAGCAGATGAGAAATTCAATGTAAGGTTTAATATCTCCTGGTTGTTAATATAATTTAACACAATATTGTTTAGGAAAATAGTGTGATTACTGAGCTCAGTCCACCCATTAGGATAAATCAGGCTGACACAGCAAGCTGCATTTAATTAGGTATTGACTTGGGATTTTGAACTTTTCTTTCCTAATTTAATTAGTGTCAGATCTAATGAGCTAATGATTTTGATATAATTTAATTTATCTGATTATGAAGTTCTGTGGAGAGACTCCTTTGAAACTATCTGATAAATCACTTGGTTTTCACAGTGGTTTTGAATCTTGCCTGTTTGCATTCTTGGGTTTCAGTGAAATTAAACTGATAAACAGGTTTTAGAACAAATATGCAGGGAAATGGTTGTACTGAAGTGTGAAGACAGATATAAGGAAACTGAGATGAGGAGTGTTAAGGATTCAAGGATGAGATAGCTGGAACTTTGTCACTTAGTTGTTTGTACAACTCAATCCAGTTTTCCCATCATATTAAACTCTAAGATTAGTTATTATGATTAACTATTATATATAAATATGATATAAATAATGAGAGGATTAGTTGGCAGAGATTTTAAGATGGTACATGTTGGCGTTCACTGAATGTGAAACATCTCTTCTAGTTCTAGCCTAAAGGTGGTATTAATGCCCAACCCCCTGTGGGGAGTTTGGTAAATTGGGGGCCTATAATCAGACAGGTAGCTGACTGGTGTGTCTTGGTTCCACCCTGGTTAAGGTGGTAGCAGGAAGATCTGTGGATGGCCTTCCTGCCCCATTTCCCATTAAGACCCTTAAGTAAGACCACTTCAGTGCCTCATCCTGTTGGCACTGGGCCAGGACTCGCAGGGAACATGACCAGTAAACCTGTGGGCTGGCCATCTCCCTCTGCTATTCATGTGTGAGCAAAGGTAGCAGATACAGGGAACTCTGCTGCCTGTGAAAGAATTTATGCAAGCGGTGAGAAATAAAGTTATGATGAAATATCCAAGAGACAAAGCCTATTGTTCTCCGGGCACTGTCTACAGCCGCTGAGTCTGTGTGTTTGAATTGTTTAATGTTTCTGATTGGAGTATTCTCCCAGTTTGAGTATTGCTGAAAAGGGAACCTGTTGCCGAAGCCTTGCATTCATTCCAAACAATCTCAATCTTTTCTACTGATAAGTGGGAATTTGACTTCAAGTGCAGCTTGGGAGAAACCCATCTCATTGACCAAGACATTAGAACAATGCACTTGTAACCAACACTGACAAATGATTTACAGAGTCTGCCAAGAATACAGAGTAATTAAGGAGAAACTGTCTCTTTGGCAGAAGGTTTGAGAAACAGTATACACTGTTTTAAGCTGATTAACAAAAAAAATAATGATGAGATGAGGAAAAACCTTTCTATGCGATGAGTGGTTGGGGAGAGTATGGTAGCGGCAGATCCAATTGATTACATTCAGAGGAGAATTGGATCGCTATCTGAAAGATAAACATTGCTGATATGTTTGTGTTCTGAATTCCACATTCCCATCTAAGCCTGGTAACTTCGCCAAGCAAGAAACCATTCCTCTGCATTAAAAATATTCAATGACCCTGCCTTCTGAGGCAGAGTGTTCCAACATTCTACAACCTTCTGAGAGGAGAAAAAAACTCCTTGACTATGTCCTAAAAGGGGAACTCCTAATTTTTAAACATTTCTGAACTTAGTCGGAAGCAGAAACCTCCTTCTTATGTCCATCATGTCAAGACCACTCAGGGTCAAGTAACTCCTCACTTGTCTAATCACCAGTTGAATGAACCTGGTCAGTCCAAGCTGTAAGAAAGCTGACTCGTTCCAGGTATCAATCTAGTGAACCTCCTCTGAACCATCACCAATGAATTTACATCCTTCCTGAAATAAGGAGGTGAAGTATTCAATGTGTAGGAACAAATTCCTGCAGATGCTGGAATCTGTGCTGAAAACAACAAATGCTGGAGATCACAGCGGGTCAGACAGCACCCTTGGAGAGAGAGTAAGCTAATGTTTCGAGTCTAGATAACTGTTCATCAGAGCTGAAATGAAGTCAAGTCTGGCTGGAGACCCACCATTGTTATACCATACTCACATTCTGATTGCTTAATCTGAACTAGCAACATCTTTTCTCCATCAGCACCCTGCACCCACTACCCCTCTGAGCACAAATGCTTTCCCTTCCACTCTTCAGCACTGAAGAGTTATCTAGACTTGCATTAGCTTGCTTTCTCTCCTTGGATGCTGTCTGACCTGCTGTGATCTCCAGCATTTGTTGTTTTCAGTACAGTATTCAAGATGTGGTTTCATGAATGCCATGCATAACTGAAGCAGAACGTTCATACTAATACGTTCAGCTTCTACTAGCAATCTACTAGCCGTGTTAATTACTTGTCATTCCTGCATACTATGCATTTGTCACTTATGCATGAGAATACCTCGGCATCTTGGAGTTTTGCAGTCATTCAGTTTTTGGAATACGTATTTGGCGTCCCTGTGGCATTGCTATTAATTCATGGTGTTGCTCAATTGCAAGATTTGCTGAACAACCCCTTGGACTGACTGCAGCATACTGTTAATGGAGTAATCTTTGTGAAGATTGTATGTGACCTACAGATTGATAGCCGTTCCTTTCATATGTGTTCATTCAAAACTGCAAATTTAGTCATGAACATGCTGCTAAAGGAAGCTGTAAATATTTATGCCTTGTTGTTATATCATGGCATTACAGATGTGCTACCATTTTCTGGATATGTAATATTAAAATTATAAACTTAGCAACTCATGCATTTGAGCAAAGTTTTAATGACACCTTGAGTCATGGTGTAACTGCAGTGTAACTGTTAAATCCTCTTTAGGTTCAACACTCATTGACATTTTCATTGGTTTCTTTAAATGGTGTTTTCTGCTAAGGCAATGCTACTGTTAGTTCAAAAAGATGCTCTTCCTACCACACAGGCTGGTGTGATGCCAGTTACATAAGCCATCTGCATCTACAACTGGCTGGTTATATCAAAAAGTATGCTCCTTTGGTTGTTTGTAATATGCAAAGTACAGACTGTCTACGATCAGACCATGCCTGCAAATGGTGAAAACAGAAACGTTTACTCTTAGATAACAAAGTGTGGAGCTGGAGGAACACAGCAGGCCAGGCAGCATCAGAGGAGCAGGAGAGCTTACGTTTCGGGCCTGGGTCCTTCTTCAGAAATGGGGGAGGGTAAGGGGGCTCTGAAGTAAATAGAGAGGTGGGGGGCAGTGGTAGAAGGTGGATAGTGGAGCAGATAAGTGGGAGAGATTTCTGAAGAAGGATCCAGACCCGAAACGTCAGCTTTTCTGTTCCTCTGATGCTGCCTGGCCTTCTGTGTTCCTCCAGCTCCACAGCTTGTCATCTCAGACTCTGGCATCGGCAGAAAAGGGTCTAGGCCCGAAATGTCAGCCTCTCTGCTCCTATGATGCTGCTTGGCCTGCTGTGTTCATCCAGCCCTGCACCCTACTATCTCAACGTTTACTCTTAAATGTGATTCAGTGATCGGTAGCAGTTGTTGAACAACCCTCAATGTTACACCAACAACCAATTTAAAATAATATGTTGAGCTCATTAAATGGCTCATATCTGCTTGCTAGAAGTGATATATATTCATAAACAGGGAATCATTCTTTGCAAAGTAAGAGAATATGTTCAAGCTTTGCACAGTTTTAAATTACACTGGAGCCTGGGAGTCTCCTGTAGCTTTCTCCAAGGCAACGGCTCAGTCAATCAGAATCCACTTGCCAAACAATTTGCAATCTTTGCTCCTGTTGTATAAACTATTGTGACCATTTGAAAGTTGGAATTGTTGCATTTGTCCTGATGAGTGCAAGTCAAAAAGCATCAGCAACATGTCTCTCTTTTCCTTCGTTACCATTTATTAACCTACCACTGTGGCAGCTTGCTGGTGAATAAGCATCACATTTAGATCCAGAGTTGAACATGGAGGCACAGGAAGGGTTGGAGGCTTATACCTTTGGCTTCAATGCTTAAATGTCCTTTCAAATTTTAGTGCACTAAAGCTGTGGATAAAATCAGTCAGTGTAGTCAAAGCAATTGCTTTGTTAAAGGTTAGACTGCTGAAAAATATATAAGCAAAATGCACACTGTTGAAGAACGGGAGCACTTGTGGTGCAGCGGTAGTGCCTCTATCTCTGGGCCATTGGGGGCTTGGTTTCAAGTCCCACCTGCTCCAGAGATATGCAACAATGTCACTGAACAGGTTGATTAGTAAATATCATACTGGAAAAGTAGGGACACTGTGGTGCAGTGGCAGTGTCCTTATCTCTGGGCTAGGAGACCCAGATTCAAGGCCCCACCTACTCCAGAGTTGTGTAATAACATTGCTGAATAGGATGATTAGGTAAAATAATTCATCCTGTAAGTGTGTTAGAACTTATGTTCAGAACATTGAAAAGAAGTGACAACTTTTCTTCCACTTAATTTCTGCCTTAATTATGTTGATTCTAGTACTATCTGGTAAGTAAAAACTGAAAGAACTGCGGATGCTGTAAATCAGGAACAAAAACAATGTTGCTGGAAAAGCTCAGCAGGTCTGGCAGCATCTGTGAAGGGAAAAAACAGAGTTAACGTTTCAGACCCGGTGACCCTTCCTCAGAACTGAGTTCGAGGGTCACCAGACCTGAAATGTTAACTCTGTTTTTTCCTTCACAGATGCTGCCAGACCTGCTGTACTATCTGGTAAGTGTTCTTTTGTGAAACAGTATGAATGTCTTTTTGCTTGTTGAACTGCAAGTATTCCCCAATTTTCTCGGATCTTCTTGTGGGGGTTTCTGATATGCCGTGCAAAAGTAAACTCTACAACATTTGGTGGAAATCTGTTTCTCTCACAATAGATGCTGCTAGAACTGAGTATTTCCAGCATTTTCTGCTTGTATTCCTGTTGTGCCTTGTTGTGAAATTTCTTAATTTGCTTCTTTCTGCAGCGGGAGGTGAAGGATGTGATAACCCCAATCGTCTTTGAAGTTACCTACAACTTGGGCAAACACCTGATTGCTGGCAAGTCTGAAAAGGAGTTTCCAGCTTTAAAACCAATCCTGCGCTGGAGAAAGGGACAGAAGCTGGCTCAACAAAACCAGGTGAAACTTAGATTATGGTTTTACTGCACAACAGATGCTACATTTCTTGCTAGTTATGTGCATTTTATTACAGATTTTTTTTAAAATGAAAAGTGCAAGTTCTAAGTAGACTTGTACCGTGGTCAGCAACAGGTAAATCCATACATTGCAACCCCTTGAGAGCAGTAACAGGTTCTCGGTGCCCAAGCCAAACATCATAAGCTCAGTGTTTAACTTCTGGAATTTGATTTGAATCATTCTTCGTCTGAAGCTTTACTTTCTGTGAGAGTGATGTTCTGACAATAATTCATTGATATTATTTCAGCAGATGTTTTGAAAGAATAAATATCTGGCAAAGTCTTTGAGAGATCAAAGAGTTAATGAAAATCTCATTTCAATAATTTGTCACAAAACAATCATTTATAGTCTCAGATAACAAGGTGTAGAGCTGGATGATCACAGCAGGCCAAGCA